AATAGTATATTATTAAAATATGTTTTTGATGGCACGACGGGGAAAAAATAATATTTACAATTTTTCGACTGAGTATAGGTTGTCTGTTGTCTTTAGGAAGCTGTTGTATTTTCCGGGTTGTGTGCTATTTAATCTAAGTCCACGCGTGTAGGAAAAAACATTTTGGATCGACGAAACTCAATACTACTCAAAGCGAAACATTTTATTATCGTAAATATGTAACTTATTGTATAATATATTATAATTCGTATTTCATACCTAAATGAAAAATACAATACCCCAACCCCAAATGAATAATTCTAAATCCTCTCCGGACTTAAACCTAAAAACGTGCCTAAAAGTTTTACACTTCCGTTGTGCACGGATGATGTTTGTATTGAAATGTGTCGTGTTTTATTATTCTATAATACCGGACTTGGTCGACAGTAAAGCAAAAATAAAATATAGAGTGTAATGTAAAATTGTAAAAAATTATGGAGGAGCGGTAGGAGGCAACTTCTTCAAGGTTACGATATCTAATTATATATATTATGTCTCACACCAAAACTTACTCATGACTTAAATTATTATCATTAATAAATTAAAAATTTGTGTATAAGGTTTAATCGGTTATTAATTTGTTATTAATCGCATGATCGCACACATTATAATTTATATTGTATAATATTATCTTCTCCGTATAAGAACGTTTTTTGTACTGGCGAGGCTTACGTATATGTAATACGTATAGTACATAGTAATAACATAATATTATTATTATGAATTGATGAAACGAAAACATTAAAAACAGACCTGAAGTGCATAATATCATTCAAGTAGGTACTGCAGATGATTACAACTTTTCCGAAACGTCTTTATATTCAGATTGTTACGACATAATATAATCATATGCTGTTCGTGCATGCCTTTCGTTTGTTGACTATAAAATATGAATGGTAGGTACGCAATTTTTGATTTTGATCATTTGTTTACAAAGCAATTCGCGTTATAAGTACTTACCTTATTTAATCAAAATATTAAAAATTATCTTTGACAATCGAATAAATGCAACATTTTATAACCACCTCACAAATACAAAATAATTATGTTAGGTTAGGTACCTGCAAGGCTGCACCAAATATTATGTTGAATACTTTTTAGGCCAATCATAAAATCCATACCATTGCTTACAACGAAATTGAAACGGTATTGTCTTCGATAGGTATGCTTAATTCATATTTTCATTCAATCTTTAATTTTGAATTAATTATTAGTATTTTAATACCTGTGTAATGTATGGAAATTATTTTTTAGATTTGTCTTAAACTTGTATGGATGTACCTATTATTATCATGTATTAAATATTAAATTCCGTTTTCGTCATAATATTTATTGTTATTACACTATTTAAAGTTTGAATAAGCTGAGTAGAGTGGCCCAAAGGTATCCCACAAAATGTTGGTCCACAAGATTACCATTAAGATAGTTAGATCAGAACTAAGATTAAGGATATTGTCACTAATTCACTTGTCTAAACTTTAAATAGTTATAGTGAATTCTAATAGTTAGAAATTCGATTTTTATATATCTATAAGTACCTCATCCAAAAATATTTTGCTTGGGAATATGAAATAAAAATGTATGTTGTCATCAAATAAAGGGAAAAACTTTAAGAAAAAATTAACGAAATATTAAAAAAAAAATTTTGATGGGAAATGTCGTTTTGCAATAACATCAAAATATCAAATTACCCATATAAAATATATATTTAAAAAAAAGTTTGAACATTTTGAAATAAAGAGTGTTGACATTTAAACGCGTCACCTTGTATATATTTTAGAGAGCAGAATAATAATATTACTCGTTAGATGTCTTGCAATATTGCAGGTGCACATTAATATTTGACGACTTCGATGAAAGCCTATCAAACGAACGAACAATAGAATAACGCAATAATAATAATAGTACTTATACAATTTTTATTGATATAAAATTATTATTATAGCGTGCTATTAATAACGGCCAATAATAGTTATGACAGTGACACCTCAATACTTGACCTCCTCGCCCCGGCTGCTGTCCAATCACTACTGAATTACACAGTCACGTGCAAGGATTGCATGAAAAATTGTTTTACGATCGTTTAGTATTAAAACCGACGACGCCGTACAATAAAATCCGCCCGTAAAACCGAACGCATAAACGCTGCAAAACAAAACGCATTATATTATTATTTGGTGTCACTGTACGGATGTGTTGGTAATTAAATTGATTTTCGACGTAAGACGAATGCCGTATGTCGAATTGTGTCTCGTGTATTGCATTTGTTGGTACCTACCTATAATAAACGTAAAAACAAAACAACACAACACAAAATGTGTAATACCATTATGTGAATGTCGATTTACGTCCGATTTCGATCCAATACGCAGTGACAATGAAATATGTACAATAGGTATGGTAGTTGTGCAATACTGCTCTCAAAGTCCATTCCAACGCATCCATGAAGGATTAATAAACTGGAAGCTACTGCAACTGCAAATATGTTCAATTAAAACGCTTAATTATAGGATGTCAGAGAACTATTTGTTTCCTCTCTCTGGGCCAAGCGCAACACATAGACAAAACGCATTTACGCAGAATCATTTTTTCTGTGTTTTTAAGACGTAATCTTAGAGAATAATACTTTTGAGAGAATGATATATCGATTCGTCTAAATGTTGTCTCAGAACAATTTAAACACAATTTAAATTTACAACATTTTTTTGTTTGTTTTGAAAGTAGAATACAAAGTCAAATAACAATAAAATATAAAATAGATATGGCATTCCCTCAAAAATACTATTCTCTATCTTTTTTGTAACGGGTGATTTTACTCTGAGATCACATAAAAACATAGAAATAATGATTCTGCGTAAATGCGTTTTGTCTATGTGTTGCGCGTGGCCCAAAGAGAGGAAACATAATATAGTGTGCTGACTTCCTCTTAAAAAAAAAATTTTAATAACTGATTAAGAAACTCGAGACATAATTCGATCGTCATTTTGTTTTCGTTTTAAAACACATGACGATAATAGAATGATATAGAATATTATTCTGTAAATAGGAATCACGGACTCCGGAAGTTATTCGTATCGCCGCTGTCTTTGCGATATTCGTTCAAAGCGTTATGATAATAATAATAATATGTTATCGCACTATTATTGCACTGCAGCGCTTCGATGATTTAGATTCGGTCGGCAATTTATTTATACTTTAAAGACGCGAGTGTTTGGAGGCCACGACAGATTGTTATTGTGCCCAACCGTGGCACCTGTGAGTACACATCTGCAGGTGGTTGGCAAGTGGGGATGTGGAGGGAGAGTTGAGTTCATTTTAATAAGTCACGTTCAAGCTCATCCGATAAATTTAGGTGAATGCGTGATGGCTCATAAATAATTTGTGTAGGATTCGTTTTGCATAAAGTTTGTGTAGGTGTATGCGATATGGTCGTATGGGAAGTACCTATACCTATAATAATAATAATATAGTTATTAGTTATTTATTGAATTGGAAACACGTTGAGTTTGATCGTGTGCTACTTGTTGCTGTTGCACTGGTTCATTGTATAGAGATCAACAATTTCATTTTAAAAAAAGGCCGAATATCCTCTAAAATTTCAAAAAAAAAACTTAATCTATATAAAATATAAACTCCTGAAAATATAGTTCACTTGCCACATCCCTGCAAATCTCGTAGATAAACTCATAAACCTGAAGGCATTAGTGATTATTTATAGATATAGGTATAATTGGCTGATATCACAGCACTGCAGTCATCAAATGTAATATTAAACCTCTTTCGTTTTTCCTAACAACGAAAACTTTTTTTCAAAGTAATAGCTGGTACATATACTTTTATTTATTTTCTAAGTTAAAGTTTTCAATAAATTTAGTTTAACTGATTATAATATTAATAATAATATGATGTGTACGAAACGGGTATGAACGACCAATTATTATTATTATATTGCAGGCTATCGTCTGCGTATAGATTGGTCCAAACTGAAGGCGAGAACGATCATCGTCGAAATCGAGACGGAACTATATCGATGTTATGATATTATTATCATTATTTACGATTTACAGAGTTCAATTACCTTCTACATTTGAGTACGTGTGTCGTGTTGTGAGCATTTTCAAAACACTTATCGGCAGGGTTCGAACATTTTACCAAATGTATTTTTGTGGTAATTTTTAGAAATTCAAAAGTAAGAATCACACCCTGAGAGTGGGTACCGATATTGGTTGGCATGCTTAAATATATAGGTATGATCGCAACTTTGTGATATGCAGGTGTCATGGCCTCCACTGGCAGTGAATATTATCACTTCGATTTATTTGCTAACAAAACCACACAAATTATTAATTTCTTGGCTAATAAATGCAAAAATCACTGCCACTTGAGATTCTTTTCCATGCTAAAACATGCAATAATTGTGCTGCCCATAACGAAAATGAGTGTCAATGCGTTCATACCTATATATTTAGCCAGGGTCGTTAGAATTATAAAAGTTTCAAAGGTTGTAAGACGAAAGTTTAGGATTTGTGATAAGGATTATTGATATGGATTGGAGATAAGGCTTGGCGCTTTGGCGGAAATGTTAAAAGTTTGAGCGTCTAGCAATTCGTCACGAACTTTGTAAATGGATAGGCTGGATACGATCCCCAGGATCAGCTATATAGAGGATACCACATAAAGTGGTATGTGCCGTAGCATGTCAAAAAGTGTTAAGTCAAAAACAGTGTTGGAGTGTATAGCACGTCATTCATTAACCTGATGACGGGGAGTATAATTCTCAGAAACCACGGGGGAGTTACCTCCTTTATCCATATTTCGTGGGTTGGCTACTTCTCACCTGTGTGACGAGGTCTCATCCCTCCGACGGGTTCACACTGGGCGCTCGTGCGCCAGACTGATGATCCCCCGCCGGCAACTCTCTGTGTCGAGGTTGATCGGAGGGTTTTGAAAGTCCCGCGTCGATGAGCGCTGGGGCATTACCACCAGACAAGTCATCCCTTTTTACTAAGGCGCTACTCGCACAGTCTCCGCGTTTCCATCCACATTGTCACGGGCACTTGTACGCCGGGCGTGGCCGGCCGGACGTGCGTCACATAGCTTGTTGGAGAGCTGTTACAGTTCGGGCATTTCTGCAGGGCCGGGTTTACAGTGGGGCTCTATCAAACACCCGGGATTTCAGAATCCGTATTCTCCTTACCCTTAATGACTGGATTCCTGCTAGCACCTGAAGCAGGGTTACTGCTGCCTTTTTGGAGCGGTACGGTTTTTGTGACGGTTGCCGTGTCCGTACCAACTTTTTTTATCAGATTTAGTGCCTAAGTGGAAGGTGATCCCCGACAGGTCTTCATCACGCACGTGTTCACTCATGAATTGGCTGGGCCCATGGCTTCTAGATCAGGGCTATTCAAGGGTAACCGGTCGGTGAATGGGGACCCAACACGCGCCGGCCTGTCCTCATTATCCCACCGGTTTGTCGCGGACAGCGCAATGCGTCCACTCGGATATGCTTATCCCGTGCGGAGTGGAAAGGTGCAATTCTCACCTTGATCCCCTTAAGGACCCGTGCCTAGTTCTGTTGGCACGTCTAACGAGTTTACCCTTCATCAGTACGCTTCAATTCTGAAGGGCCCGGAACACGGCTCTTTAGTTTTGCCGTGAACCCGCTCCACGCTACCGATCTACTTCAGTCGATTGCACCTCTGGAGCTGGTCTTTCTTTCGCGGTAAACGAGTGGGCAGTCTCATTTTGGCAGATGTCCTGCGATCGTAGAGACCTGCGTGAGGCAAGCTGTCCTACCTCTAGGGTTTTAATAGTAGAGGGGTCGGTCTGCTCAAAACTGTCGCCAGTCCACTTCCCCTTCATTGGTGGCCCTTCCCCGTTTTCACCTGTCAGTCAGTTTTGACCACCTCTGATTCTTCCTTTGCCCCCGGAAGCTTGGTCTGGAGATGCGCCCTCCGTTGGCGTTGTGAGTGGGACGGAGTCAAAGACCCGGGGGAAGCTTCCGGCCGTTCGTCTTCCACCCAGTTCTGTGTCCAGGCAGAACTTCGTCAGTCACGGCCCCAATCCCGCGGCTCTTTTTGCCCACAATGATTTTGCACAATCATGTACGGTCGTATCGTGAGGCGCTCAGGGTGTAGCCTTCTACGAGCGCCTCTGCGCCTCTCGTGCCCATTTCCACCCTGAGAGGTGCGGGCGGCACGAGAACTCCCGGGGGTCATAGGACTACTGCCAGCACCAGGGTTGTCCTGTCTTATAGCCCAAAAAAAGGCTTCCGACGGATTCGAACTCGTACCTACCTACAACCTACATTTGGGAACCTAGCGCCTTACCTACCGACTTACCGTTTGTGTTACCATCAACGGTCAAAACTTCAACACTTAAACTATGTGTCTACGGAGCGATATAAACGGATATATATTCGATATACATCGATGTATTTACACACTGTTTAAACTTTAATTGTATTCTATTCAATGATCCGACCATTATTATTATTATTACATTACATTATTATAATGTATGTTTAAATTATATATTTATTTAAATCAAACCGCAAAATTGCGTTTACGTCAAGCAATATAACTACGTTGTTAAGGACCAAAAACTATTGTCTACAATAATATAATGCAATATTTATTGAATCAAAAACAAAACGACGAAGTTGTGTACTTGTGCGTTGGAACGAAGACCGACTCACATTTCGTGAACGCGAATTTTTAAGTGTACAAACCGAATTTGAGTGCAAACCACATATCCGGGGGTTTCAGAAGAAATAAACTTAACAAATAGAGAACAAACGACAGTTGAAAAGACGAAACGAATCGAGAAAAAAGAAAAAAGCAATAATAACGACCGACTGTTGACAGTCGATTGCGATGGCTACGGACCGACATCGCGTACAAACCGCACATCGGCGGCTTCTAAAACCAACAAACTGTATGTGAATAGAGGAGTGACGGGGATGAGAAATCAGAAAATGTCGAACAATTTGAAAACCTACTGACCGCCGCCGAGGTGAAGGTACCCGATGGACGCGCTGGGGAATCGACGGGAGCGGGTCGGGCGGACTGTAGAAACGGAGTGGTCAAGGTGTAAACACTCCCTTATCTTTTATATTATGATAGTGGGCCAAAAAAAGTACACCACTTGTAACTGCCACCAGGAGCGCTGACTACCCGATGAAGGCTCAAACACATTAAAGTTTGTATGGCACATTATGCAATTTAGCATTTTATTCTATTTACTAATTAGTAATTACAAGGACTGTGGACTTCATGATCTAATAATTGATATTTTAATTTTTAAATAGTGTAACTTAATATGTATCATATGTGCATATGGTACTTTCAATTCATATATTTTAATATCCAGATTGGAAAACGTTTACCAGTAGGTATAAGTAGTGGTTTATATTTATATTAATTTTGATATTTTTTTTAATCTTTTTATAGGATTTTTCTTGTATGATATTTGATCATTATGCCTTTTACATACAAATATCATTCTGGTGTTCAAATAGAAATTTATAATATATTTGGTTAATTCATTCTGATGATCCACCGATCCCAATTTTTACGACACGGTTTCACTATGGCCGGAGTTTTCCGTTCCACGGGTTGCTGTGAGACAGCTGTTTTCCTTGTCATTTTATTTATTTTATTTATTACAGTATTAGATTTTATTAAAATGTATATATATAATTTGATAAATAAGTAATCGCGTACGACGATCAGTTCGATAGCAGCGGAAACGTGCATGAGCAATAATATTATAATATTTTATGTAGGTACCAAACGTAGTTTTTTTTTCCTCATATTATTATTATTATTATTATATACCTATACGATTGTTATCGCAGAACGATATTCTAAAATAATTACGACCACAATTCATATTATATTATAATAATAATAATAATAATTTATAATTGCACATCCAAAGTCCAAACCCACCAGCGCTCGCGAGTGTAATAATAAAATAATATTTTAATGATTATGTAAGTCGTCGATATTTATGTTCTCGTATTATAATATAATGATAATAATAATATACGACTTCACGATCATCGTATATAATATACACGTGTTATAATCTACTTTGAAGACGCGCAGTACATAAAGCATAAGCACTCGCTATTATATACATAAATAATTATTATATATAGGTACATACTATATATTATTGTAGGTAGGTATTGTGCAGGTATATAATAATATAATGTCTAATAAGACATCTGAAACCTATTATTTGTTTTATCGAACGTAATAGTATTATAATCGTGTAATAATGATTTCGTTATACAGAATCATGAAACTAATTATTTTCGGAACGTCGATCTCGCCCCCATTCCCCTCCATCCACCCCCGCATCAATTCGATTTCACTCCCTGTGGATATGATGACGATGATTACGACGATGATGTGTACTGCAGTATGCGTGGTTTGACTGTATAGGTATAGAACAGCCAACCAATCGATCAGTTGAGGATAATATTGGTCGATCTCATTAAAAATTAATTATTACACATACACTAATACCTGTTGATCGCGAGCGCAATCTTAAATTTTAAGACTAAGTTTATGTTTAAGACACCCTCGCGCTTTATATACAAAGTAAAGTATATTTATTTTAGCTAAGAAAAACGTAGGTACAATTTTCCGATAGAGAAATAATTAAAGAAAATATTTTTATACAATGCATTATTATGCTGCATTTAACACAATAATAAAAATAATATACTTAAACAAATAGTGGTAGATCGCACCACATTACAATATACATTTTTTTCGAAATACAGACCGAGTCCCCTAGAACCCGCTCTGGAGCTGCCCCTGGGTCACCAGATATTTGAAATTGTTAATGTGCAGACTCACTTGTTGGAAATGGTTGGTGGCCCCTGAAATAGTACCCTTCTTTATGCCATATAATGGTTATCACTTTATATCAGGGCCATATACCGGGTAGACATTATATGTCTATATGCACTGTACCTAGGATCCTCGAACAAATTGGGCCCCATGAAATGTTCAAAATATTATATTCCCTATATATTTCAATATTATAGTGGAGACTAGAGCCCCAAAATGAATCGGAATCACAAGCGTGTGGGCATTATGTCGGACAGTCTCCAAAAGTTGAACTCGACTCAACTCTAGAAATTTCCTGCATGGTAGATCATAGTCAGTGAATATATTATGATACCATGGTTACAGCGGTCAATCAGAACGCGACAAAAGGCACACGACGCGACAGTCGAGGTAGCTGTGCAGAGGTATAGGTATTAATATCTGCGACTGCAGCGGCGCGGTAACCGTGGTATACCTATGTATACAATCCGACGGTATTTAAAATCAAATGCGTGATAATACAATAGAATATAATACAATAATATAGGTGTATCTACAATGGACGCATCGCCGTCGAGGGTAATCGCGCGTCGTCGTCGCGGCGTTTGAAATCAAATCGACCGGGAAAATCTCGAACTCGCCGCCTTCAACCTCATTATGATTTCGACTATATACCACCCCTGGCACCCCCCCACCGATACGTTCGAGCGCACAATCGTTTTTAAATACACTCGGCCGGCGATACCTATACGTATTATTATCAAGCCTAGTCGTGTTCAACGACGTAGGTACCTATATAATATATACCTATATATTGTATTTTAACGATATTGTAACTACAGCAGTAGGTACATATAGTGCATATCATAATAATAAGATATTATATTATATTATATGAAATGTTATGCGAGCACTACTCGTCGTAAGGCGAATCGTTTGTAAAACACGTGTTGCTATTATATTGTACGCGATGTGTGTCGTATGATTTATGTTTGCACGAGACGTAAGAAAAGCACACACAATGGACGCGACATGTGAAACCTTATGATAATATTAATATCGCGACGAAGAGATCTCGGGTAGTAGATAGGTGTATATATAGGTAGGTGTTGTTATATTTTATATACGCCAGCGAGAAAAGTCGCGTCCCCATACGTCCTATCGACAAACAAAACGAAAAAAGATTACTTTCTTCTTCTTCTTCTTCGTCTTCTCCGCGTCTCCGTCTTCTCCTCGTTCTGATCGATTGATTTCGAACAACATTTTTTTCGCTCTCGGTTTTCACGATTATTATATTTTATACAGCAATGTTACCTATATATGCAATATTTTACGCCTGCAGCAGCGGTCGTCGCGTTTGTCCTGCGGCTTGTCGTCGTCCG